ATTTAAATGAGTTTTCCTTTTCTTTTTCATTTATTTTTGTTTATTTTGTTTTTTTATTATTTTTTTATCCTTCATTAAAAAACTTCAAATTTTTTTCCTAAATAGATATATGCTCGGTTTTAATGTTTTTATATCTTTCATTAAAAAAATTCAAAATTTTTTTTATCGTTTTTAAAATTTTTTTTTTCTTTTTATCGTTATTTTTTGTTTTTTCTTTTTCAATATCTTTACTACATACTTGAAGATAGTAGGGTTTTTTTTTGTTTATGTTTTTTTTTTTGATTTTTAAACTAAATATCGGTTTGAATTTTTTAATGTTTAACCATTATAAAATTTAAAAAAAGAAGAATATTAAGGATCCCAATATTTTCCATTCATACTTTTTTTAATCATATTATTTTTAGATTATAAAATTTTGAATCATAGTATTTTTGAATCATAACGATATTATGCATCATACATTTTTGGATCATTTTAATTTGGATCATGTTAATTTGGATCATAATATATTAAGTTAAATAAAGTTTTTGTTCAAAACAATATTTAGATCATTATAAGTTTTGAATCATTTAATTTTAAATTATAAAAAATATAATAATTAAGGATCATTAAATATTTGAATCAAAATATTTTTAGATCATAACAAGTTAAGGATCATAAACATATTGAATCATAAATATTTCGAATCATCTCTATTTGGATCATATTATGTTCAACATATAATGAAAACTAATGCATACTAATGGAATATCATGGTTGTTTTAGTAAGATTGTGACAGTGAAATTAGATAAACCATCAAGTAAATTTGAGAAAATGTTGTAATCGATTAAATGATAGTAATCATATAAAAACTAATGCAAGAACATAGAGATGTATGAGGAAAACTCATAATCCTTTTGGATCTACGACATAAAACCTCGGGAGGTGATGAAATCACCTGCCTTAGAACTTAATATTAATGAAATGTGTTTACAAGTGCTAGTCTATTGTGTTGTAAATGTAAAGGAGTTTAAGTGTCGAGAGAAATAGGGCGAGAATAGAAGAGAAAATGTGTCCGTGAGTGATGGTCCGGATCCCGAAGGAACCCAAATATTGGTAGGAACTGCGATGAGCATTCTCCACCAATCATTTCGTCAAGGACACAAACGTCAAACTCATTTACTTGGTCGTGAATCGTTCATACGAGGCGCATGTGCATGGAAAATAGTACGGACTCGAGAGAATAATCATGCGCGATGAACGTCCATGGAACGTCATTTAAATGAGTTTTCCTTTTCTTTTTCATTTATTTTGTTTATTTTGTTTTTTTATTATTTTTTTATCCTTCATTAAAAAACTTCAAATTTTTTTCCTAAATAGATATATGCTCGGTTTTAATGTTTTTATATCTTTCATTAAAAAAATTCAAAATTTTTTTTATCGTTTTTAAAATTTTTTTTTCTTTTTATCGTTATTTTTTGTTTTTTCTTTTTCAATATCTTTACTACATACTTGAAGATAGTAGGGTTTTTTTTGTTTATGTTTTTTTTTTGATTTTTTAAACTAAATATCGGTTTGAATTTTTTAATGTTTAACCATTATAAAATTTAAAAAAAGAAGAATATTAAGGATCCCAATATTTTCCATTCATACTTTTTTTAATCATATTATTTTTAGATTATAAAATTTTGAATCATAGTATTTTTGAATCATAACGATATTATGCATCATACATTTTTGGATCATTTTAATTTGGATCATGTTAATTTGGATCATAATATATTAAGTTAAATAAAGTTTTTGTTCAAAACAATATTTAGATCATTATAAGTTTTGAATCATTTAATTTTAAATTATAAAAAATATAATAATTAAGGATCATTAAATATTTGAATCAAAATATTTTTAGATCATAACAAGTTAAGGATCATAAACATATTGAATCATAAATATTTCGAATCATCTCTATTTGGATCATATTATGTTCAACATTTTTTTAAAAACTTTTAATATTTTAAAATCAAGTTTAGTATCTAAAACATCTTATTTTTTAAAAATTCTTTTTACAAAGTCATTAGAATAGTCAGTAGAAATATTCCTTAAATTTTTAAAATTTTTGAAGAATTTTTTTCCTTGGTTTTTTAATAAATATAAAAAAATAAAAAAAATTCATGATTGTGCTCATTTTGTAGAGAATTAATTTTAAAAAACTTTGGTTTTTTCAGATTTTGTTTTCAAAGAAAAACAAATTATGGCCGAAAAACTAAGTGGGTGGAAAAAACGCACCAGCCATTAAGGGTTGGACACTTGCCATGTTGGGGGTGGGGGCACGTGTCTCCTGGAGAAGCCACATGGGCGAATTTCTTTTTCTTTTTTCTATTAATCTTTTTGTTTTTGTCACTTATACCCTCCACACAATTAACCTTCCCCGGAAATTATTAAAATCTCGTAATTAATTACGAAAATGTCATATCATCTCGCGAGATTTTGACGATAAATAAAATAAAATCTTGGCCATTTATTTTTTCAATCTTAAGGCCAAAAATATTTATCGCGGTTCGTACCATTTTTTGAGTTCCTACTTGATCCAACTTTTATATATATATATATATATATATATATATATATATATATATATATATATATATATATATATATATATATATATATATATATATATATATATATAATATAATGAATTTATGATCAATAAGTTTAATAATTAATCAAGTCTCTTATATTCCGAATTAAACATCAATTTTAAGGTAATTAATGCAATTGATCACTATACCTAAGAATGTTGTATAATTGAAGGATTGGTAATCTAATCAGGAAAACTAATCAACGTAGTAATCGCTAAATGAAAATATTTAATACATTCATTATTTGAGAAATTAACCATAATAGAGAGGGTAGTTGAATCTAAACAAAAGTACCTTTAAAATTTTATTTAGAATCTTTTATGTTTGTAACAATTGGTTTTTATTAATTTAGTCATTAGTAATTGAGGTTAGATGTTTCAGAACTTTAAAATCAGAAAAACCTCAATTTCTATTATTTTCTTTAGTTCAATTAATATTAAAAATTTTGAACTTGAATCATACTTGTTCCCAAGAGTTCGACACATTTATTTACCATTATTATAGTAATACATGACCATGTTTACCTCCTCTAAGTTTGTTGGTTAAGTTGTTATAAATTATGATTTTTCAAATTTAAAACCTGAATATATATATATTATATATATATATATATATATATATATATATATATATATATATATATATATATATATATATATAAACACATCAAACCTTAATATCTTCTGACCATTGGACTATTAGGCCTCTCATCGACGCCGTTGTCCATGTTTACCGGTGAGTTATTTCCTTCTACAATAGCCTTGGTGTTTTCCATATTCTCATCGACGTCCTCATCCATGTTTATCGGTGAGTTATTTTCGTCCACCACCGCGTTGGTGTTTTCGATGTGAACCCCAACGGACATAAACCATTTTAGTTTCTCTGTGTTGCTCCATTTTCATATCCAACCTTCATCTTCTAGATTTACTCAAGATCTTGGGAGTTAATACATTTGTCTTCAATGTTTATTGTACATTATTGCAGATGTTGAGATTTAATGCTTTTGTTGTATAGACATATTTCAAAACTACGTTTTATGCCTTGTATTGGGTATTTTTTTGGCTTAAATATGATGCCCGAAGACTTGGGCCCTAGATGAGGGAGTGAGAGAGAGAGATTAGATGAGAGTGGGTTGGCCCCACCTAATATTTTTAAATCAATTAGGGACAAAAATCAAAACAATAACATAAAATAAGGATGGTAGGAATTAAAAAAAAAATAAAAAAAATATAAAAATAAAGGTTAAGAACCAAATGAGTCGATGACCACAAACTATAAGGACTATTTGTGTAATTTTTTTTATCAATCAGAAAAAAAAATTACATATATAACCTTTGTATATACACTCCATAGGAGAAGGACTAGAAACGTACCATAGGAGAACTATAGCCACCGGATCACTGCCCCCATATAACTTGTCCTTTCAACTTCGTAAGGGTTTACTGGATTTTTCCGGTGTATTATTAGCGTCATTATTCAATTACATTCAAAATCTAGCCTTGCAACTTTCCATTTTTATTGTATTTTATTAAACCATTGGAGAAAGGATGACTGATCTTTTAGAACTTGACAAAATCTATTGTGGTTTTCCTTTTTATATTTTAATTCATTTCAAAAGTAACCACTAATCACAAACAGGCATTAATGTCAACATTGTCAACTTAATTATTATATAATTTAATATTCCGGAGATGATCTCAAATCCAATCAATGTATATTAACAATACACACGGGTTCAATCACAGTTTTTATTTTTTATTTTTATTTTTTTTTATTTTTTTTATTATCAATCAGGTTACTCCCGAATCAAGCTATAAATAAATATTATAATTTTTGGCGCAAGGTTTGCAAACCCAAAATCGAGAAGTAAACATAAATTTAGCTGCAAAGTCATTCCTTCAAAGAACATGATTGGCTGACGTTTATGATTACAAGCGATCTACACAATAAAATAAAATCATAATGAAAAATCTTGGAGTTCATGAAGAACGTGGATTTAGAACACAGATGAAAGGTTTGCCCCAATGATTAGGTCAAATCACCAATTTTCATAAGCCTTCAGCCTGAGTTTTGTATGAGCTGCTTCTTTCTGTAGTAATGCCATTTGTATAGAGTTATAATCGTTTAAAGTTTACTCGTTTTGGCATATATTTCTAGGACATGAGTTCGATGTAGGAGTTGCCAATTAAGTTATTTCATTCTCACAAAATCTTCTTAGCCACAAGAACTTTCCACGTTAGATTTATTTTCTAAAATGACCGCCCCTTAATTAATGTCTATACTAGGTTTTTTTAGAAACAACGATTTTTTATTAAAATGACCCCAGCAAGTAAGAAGCTAAACAAGGGCCACCAAAAAGACATTACAGTTCGTTAAAATTAATAAGATGCAAAAGGAGAAACGTTCCAATCCTCCCGGTTACAAATACCATTTTTATCCCTTACTTTGAGCCAAAGATACACCAAGGATTTGACGTTCTCTAACACTTTTAAAGGAGAGCTTGTGCATCTCTGGAACAACCTTTCGTTTCTTGTTTTCCATAGAGTCCATATTAGCTCATAGCAGATGACAGTTAGTATCTTCCTTCTTTTCGAACACCTTCCCCATTTGTTTGCAAATTCCACCAGGTCACCAACACTTTGCACTTTTATATTGTCGATCCCGCACCATCTTGATATCTTATCACGAATCATAGTAGCATAAGGGCAGCCAACTATAATGTGATCAGCAGTCTCCGACCCGTTGATACATGATCCACATAAAGTGGAGTCTAGCTTGATACCACGGTGACCAAGTGCTTCTGCAGATGGGATGTGCCTTAGAACAGCTCGCCATACAAAACTCGATACCTTTATAGGAATTAGTTTACTCCACTTGATATGTATCTGTGACGTACTTGTAAGCAATTTGTGGCCGAGTTTCACCCTAAGTGAAGCAACATTGTATATACCATCCGAATTTAGACAACATGAGAAATAGTCCAAACTTGGTTGGAGTCGGGTGGGAGCAATTTCCTTTGATAGATGTTCCAGATCACTGGTTAACCCGAATGTATTTGGGCGTGACTTCCATCTCCATTTATAGCCCGAATCATTGATTCTAGCATTCACCAGACAGCTTTTATGTGACTCTAGTTCGTATAATGAGGGGTATGAATTTTTCAGCTTCATCGATCCAATCCATAAGTCGTCCAGAATTGTGTATTACCTCCCGATTTGATCTTCAGTGTAAAAATATCACCAAAACATAAGCCCATTGCCTCAATGTCATTTTTAGTGCTCGCTATGTTGTTCCATACCCCATAAATCTTTTTCTTTGACAAAGATTCCACCGATTTGTTTGCTAGATTATGTATTCCGTATATAACCTTGCTCCATAGGGATGAAGGTTCCGATTTCAATCTCCACCACCATTTTATCAAGAGCGCAACATTCATAGCCCTTATAGACCCAATACACAATCCACCATTTTCCTTGGAATTTAAAACTTTCTCCCAGGAGACCCAATTCCTCGTCCCCCCCCCCCCCCCCCAGCCCCCCCACCAGAAACTTTCTTCTAATTTTTTCAAGAGTGTCAATTACCCCTTTAGGTGCTTTGAACAGTTGGGAGATTCCCCAACACCGCTTTGATTAAGGTCAACCCGACTCCAAATGATAGATTTTTTGATTTCCAGTTGGAAAGTTTTGCTTGAAATTTGTTGATGATTGGTTTCCAATTCTTTTTTAGGTTCATGTTGGCACCAACTGCAACTCCAAGAAATAAGAATGGAAGTGAGCCCGCCTCACAGCCAAGTAAACCTGCCCACAATGTAGTTTCAATACTCGTTGCCCCAATGCCAAATACTTTGGATTTATGAAAGTTCACTTTTAGTCCCTAAGTGACATGGAAGCACTTAAGTATACGAGCAAGATTTTTCAGATTTGATCTACACCATTCACCTACAAAGAGTGCGTCGTCCGCGTAAAAGAGATGGGAAATCAATGGACCATTGCCGGGAATTTTGAAGCCTTTGAATATTCCTTTCTCAGTAGCAGATTTAAGTGCTACGTTAAGCCCTTCCATCACAATGATGAATAAGAATGGGGAGAGGGGGTCACCTTGTCTTACACCCTTAGTGATATAAAGAAAATAAAATATTAAAATGTAAATAATAAGTATTTTTAAAATAAAATTTTGAAATAAGGAATGAAGAAACATATTAATTGCAATTTATCATAATATTTATCACGTTTGATACTTTACATATATAAGTATAAGATTATGTGACTTTTTAATTTTTAAAATTGAAAAAAACCATAAATTGACTTGTGGATATTATTTATTTAAAAAGAATCACAAAATGACAAGTGTCAAAACTTATTAGATATTGACATTTGACAAAATTACCTTAATTTATTATAGTAGATAGGTATAAAACCCGTGTATTACACAAATTGATTAATGAAAATAAAATATTAAAATGTAAATAATAACTATTTTTTAAAATAAAATTTTGAAATAAAGAAATGAAGAAACATATTAATTGCAATTTATTATTATATTTATTACATTTGATACTTTACATATATAAGTATAAGATTATGTGACTTCATAATTTTAAAATTTGAAAAAAACCATAAATTGACATATGAATATTATTATTTATTTAAAAAATATCAGAAAATAACAAGTTCAAAACTAATTAGATATTGACATGTGGCAAAATTACCTTCATTTAAAAAATATCAGAAAATAACAAGTTCAAAACTAAAAGTTGTAAGACCCATGTATTACATGAGTTAATTAAAAAAAATTAAATATAAAGGTCTAAATATTTAATAACTTTAGATTTATAAAAAATAAGAAAAATAATGAATTATTAAAATTGATTTTTTTATCTTTTAAATTTAAATAAATAAACAAAACAAACTAATAAACTTTAATTTGATAATTTTGAAATAAGAAGGTAAGTAAATTAATGAAATTGATATTTATTTATTACTACATTTATTGTAATTATTATATTAAATTATTATGTGAAATTTATTAAAATAGAAAAACTTATAAAATAATATGTGGAAAAGAAATTAATTCGAAATTACAACAAAATGACATTGGGCAAATTGAATGACAGTATAACATACGGCAAAAAAAAAAGCTTCATTTATTAGAGTAGATTTGTCAAATTTGTCAAAGCCATGGGTCATTGTTCTTTGATTATTGCTTATAGAACGATTATGAAAAATGTCTACATTTGTCAAATTAAGCGGTTGGTTAACGATTGATTCGCACAAAACTTAATTAATGTGTATTTATGAGTGTTGAAGAAACTAGCCACCTAACTCATGTAAAATTGTCCTTTCTATTTCGCAAAGGCTCAATGTATATTCGTAGTTGTATAATTATCAAGACTACTTGCTTGACATACACTATGGCTTTTCTTTTTCTATTTTTGAATTTGTTTTTTCCTCCAAAAGCAAGGAGTAATGGGATTTAATTAGTGTCAACACTCAACATTCCCAAAACATATAAAATTTTCGAAAGGATCTTGAATCCCATGTTAATTAACTATCCACTAAGATCCAATACCAAACGATCTTAATGGTTAATTCATGTTTATTGCCATGTATAATTAATGACTTTTGAGTAGTATCCACTACTCCGCATCCTTATATAAGACACCATCTTCTTAACCACTCAAACAACATTCTTGTAAAACATAAAACGAGATACAATGGATGCAATCAAAGCTCTATCCTCTTTTCAAGTTGATGTGAAGATTATGAGTGCTAAAAACATCCAAGTTTCCAACTCCAAAGACTACTTGTTTGTTAGATGCTACCTTTCGGTTGGAAATAACAAAAGGGTGCGTTTAGAGAGTCACGCAATCCCTCCAAATGAAAAAATCTGTTGGAATGAGTCATTCTCTTTGGATTGCATAGCGACACAATCCATAGACGCGATCATTCAGGGAACTGTGGTTTTTGAACTCCGTTCCAGGAGTAGTAAAACTCCTTTGTTACAGAAGTTCATTGGAGGTAATGCAAACGTTCGTGGGTCACAACTCCTTGGAAGAGGTGAAGTCTCATGGAGAAGTGTTTTCGAGTCCCAAAACATGGAAGCGGAGAGGTGGCTAGTGATGAGATCGAAGAAAGCTGACATTAAAGCGCCTTCTATTTGTGTAAGTATGAAGATTCAAAACCCACAGGTGAAAAATGAAACAAAGACGAAAACTTTTGGCAAGTTGAAGAATAAGCGGGATGAAAGCTGTGGTTGCTCACATGGTCACTGTTGTGAAACTTCGTGCATTGATAGTGAGCTTTTTGCCATAGGATTTGCCTTGGATGCTTTTTAAGTAAAAATAAAATTTGGAAAATACATAGATTAGAAAATAGATAGAACGAAAACACTTGCCTAATACAATGACATAGTCTTTCACTTTATTACTGCATAATGATCGATAATGAGTTTGTGAAAGATGTTATGTAGCCTATATATATACTTGGCAATTCTAAGGACGGACCAGTATGGTTGTTGACTATGTATGAAGGTTATAATTATGTAAAAGGTAAATGTTTCTTGTTTGGTTGACAAGGGACACAATCACTGTTCATATAAAATTTTTGGTGTACATGTAATCTAAAAAGACACCTATATGGCTATATTACCCTAATTAAATAATTGATTTGTGCTTGAGTATGCATAGCTGATATTATAAAGCCTCATGATCACTTGAAATGGATGAGGTTTTGAACACTTGGAATGGGTAGATCATGTTGAGTTCAATCCTTAGATCAACACCATTGAACACCTAGTTGTTGGATATAGTAAATTCGAGTTTTGTTGAAATCGAGAATGCTTCGAAGTTTGAATATTCACAGGAGCTGTGTGAGTTTTCGGCAGAAATGGACCTGTATGAAAAACAGCAAAATATTTCAGGGGTTATGATAATACACTAATCAAAGTACAAAAAATACAAAAATTAAAAATAAGAAAAAAAAAATGTGCATGTCTGATGTAAAATAGAAACTTATGTTAAGTAGCACAAAACTTATAGTGCAGATCTGTTCTCAATACATGTATAACGTCAAAAATACAAAATCCTTTGTACATTCCTGCCAAATTGATTTTTTAGGGAAGAAAAGCTAAAGTAAGTTGCTAAAAATTTGAGTACTTGGTCAAAAAACTTAAAGTAAATACCCATGCGACTGAAACTAATATCTTCTTTCCCTTTTTGTCCTTATAGGCGTAGTTAACTTTTATATGTTACAAAAGGTTAATTTTCAAAATGTTTATTTAAGTTGCCACACCAAAAATCGTGAACATTTTTTATTTAGTAGTAAGTGATATTATTTGGTTTCATTCAGCGACACTCCAATTGTCACCAGGCTGAAAACAACTTACAGATTTGCTTGTGCAACTGAAAACAAAGAAAAGTTTATTGTTCAGAAAAAAAAAAGATTTGGACGTGATTGCATAATTGAAAAAAAAAATGGGACTAAAGCCAAGCAATTGAAACTATTTTAGGCATGAATTGCTACCTGCAGTTCGAAATTTATGTACTTTATTAACAGCCTTTTTGAGAGCCAGCACCAAACATTAGTTTCTTCTCCCCTAATAAACCAAAAGGTTTAGACCTCATTACCAAGATCTGAAAATTGAATATATATCAAGGTGAATAAATATCATTCCATGCCCAGTAAAACATAAAATAAAAAGTGGTTATAGATTACCGATCTAAGATCTTGAATATCTTGGTTGGCTTGCATAGGAATTGCTTCCAACAACACAACGTTCATCACCTTTGTTGTATATCCCCCTATTTCCTCCATCCTGTAATCACAATAATTTGGATAATGAGAAGTGGCATACTAAAACAAGAACACCTATAAAAAAAACAAAAAAAAAAAAAACAAAAAACAAAAAACAAAAATCTTAAAGTAAACCGATAAAAACCAACATCCAAAAGTAACTACCATAGGGATCATTACTTAAAAGAGTATTATACTTTTTGATTTGTACACATTTGATCACTGAGTTTTTTTTTTTTTTTTTTGTCAACATTTGACCATTTACTTGTTTTTTTTGTTCACATTCAATCTTTATAACCAGCTATTCTAGGTTAAGCCGAAAAATGATTTAAATATGGTAATATATTTTTCAGTTTGTACATATTTAACCCTTAACATTTTTGTACACATTCAGTCTTTATCACCGGTTTCCTCAATTTTCGCTCATGACATCGTACGTGGGACAATCATTAATGATGTATTCTCATACGTGGCTCGTCCTTTACTTATATCAGTAACCTAATTTACGAATCAGTTAAATAATGATGGTGCCATAGTTTTCTCCTAGCAGAGTATGTCTTTGGCTTCGATATCATCTATTTCCATAGCAGACAACCACATTCTTTGTAATTGCTTTCTCCCAATTCGAATTTGCACTTGCAAGAAAAAAGAATTAAGAAAGATGCTAAAATAATTTGCACTTCCAAGACAATGTAACACCCTCGCAAAAAGTTTCATTTATCTCCATAGGAGACAATGAGATTCTTTGTGATTGTTTCCTCCCAACTCGAATTTGCACTTCCATAACAAAGAATCCTGTTGTCTGCTGTGGAGATGGAAGAAACTAAAGCCGAAGACATCTTATACTTGGAGAAAAGTAGCGCACCAACACTATTTGAACGATGCGTGAATTAGGCTAGATATATTAGTTAAGGATGAGCCACGTATAAGAACACCTCATTAATGATTGTCCCACGTAAGACGTCGTGAGCAAGATCTGAATATTTTTGTAAAAAAACATTAAGGAATAAATGTGTACAAACTAAAAAACATATTACCCTATTAAGTCATTTTTTTTTGCTTAACCTGGAGTAGCCGGTTATAAAGATTGAATGTGGAGCAAAAAACAAGTTAAATGGTCAAATATAAGCAAAAAAATCAATGACCAAATGTGATAAAAAAAGTATTATTTCCCTTTTAAGTCATTATCCCGTTACTATAAGAAGAAATAAACAAAACATACCAAGTACATAACGTACAAACCCTTGTAAGAAGTGGACCAACAACATGTACCTTACAATAAAGTTAAAGAAGAATTATTATCAATTTCTTCATTTTTCTAAATAAAAGAACAATAACAACAATATTTACAACATGTGTAGCACTTTTAATTGTAAGAGGGATGAATTGTGTTCTTGAACCACTACCTAATCAAACTGAATTTTCAAAATTTTTTCATAAATCAACAAAATCAGATATTGCAATTGATTAGAAGCTAGAAGAGAATAATGAAAGGAAACGCATTTTGAAAGAGTTCAAAAAACCTAGATTATCAATAAGGACTTTAGTATTCAAACGGATGTGGAAGCTGTTTGAGACGTAGTACTCCAGATATTCTAATTTGAATAAATTTCAATTGCGCCCTTTTCAACAAGAAAGCACGAAAAGGCATTAATGAAGTTTGAAAAGCTTTGTGATTTTTGTATAGAATGGAATCCCAATCTTCAAAATCACAAATTGGTTTATAGGAACTGGACAAAACCATCTCCAATATCCTTTTTTTTATCAAACACATTAGGGCACTGCAACCTATTCTTTGCAGTGAAAGTCAAAAAAATGAAAAGAATGTTAAGAATTATTAAATCCAATAAGAACAATAAGCCAACTAAACCTAAATCCCATTAATTTTTTATTACATAGATAATGAAAACCAAGGCAGGTCAAGAGATCAAGAGGGGGAGCAGTGTTAGAGATCAAGGATGGAATGTCAGCCATTCAATAGATCAATTTCTTAACTTTAGACCACCATTGGTGTAGAAGGATTCCGATATATTGTCATTAATTAACAAAGAAACCTATCAATCAGGTTAGAGGAAAAGGGGTGATAAGAATCAATGTACACATATTTCACAATTATCGATTACATTTGCATAAAAATTCACACTCTTGACCAAGAAAATCCAACTACAAATTAGTAATGACCAGAGTAAACAATTTTGCCTTATTGAAATTGAAGGAAAACAGATAACAACTAAACCATCACCACCAGTAGAGTCAAAACTAGTTTCTAGAGATCGATTATAGAAGCTGCATGTATAAGATATGTAAAGTAAGTAGGAATGGAAGAAGTAACACAATATTTCTGTGAGCATTGAATACCATGACAACACAATCCAACGGTATGAGAAAGTATGAGGCGTACGGAAGAGGTGGAGCATGAAAGATTAATTGAAAATACCTCTTCTTTGATGCTTACAAATTTTGAGTTTGAAATGGATGAGAGAAAATGAGAGACAAATTATGATGGGAGAAGTAGGTGTGTTGAATAAAGAGACAGATGGGGTGAAATCAATGGAAAATTCCACCTCCAAGGGCAGAAGAAATTGTTGGATTAGTGTCTAAGCCCATAACTATATTTTGTATGTACTTGACTCGGTTGTGCATGGTCCTTTTGGTTTGCCTTCACCAAAGCAACTTGATAGGATGATTTATGGAGAAAGAGGATTAATTATGATTTATTAATATACTATATGAATAATATATTAAGGAGAAATCATATTGTTTAATTAATATTAGTCAAGAATTAATTGATAGTTAGTTTTGTGACTAAAAGAGATTAATTAAACTTAGGGGACTAGAATTGTAATTATAAGATAATTGCAATTGGACTATGAATCACCTTGGAACATAGGTTGGACGAATTCTATGGGAAGCCCATAAGGAATTCGTCCAAGGGGTGTTCTAATGGGTGTCCATGGGCTGCTTAGGGCCTAAGCAGTCAAATTAGGGTTTCCTAGTTGAAAACCCTAATAACCTCACTATATAAAGACCCCTATGGCCCCAAAAACAAGGCGAACTCTCTTGGAAGAACCCTAGGTCGTTTTTGGTGCTCCTTCTCCTTCTCATAAGTCATTCTCTTGCTTGTGGTGTTTATAAGCCATTAGAGAAGTGACACTTGTGACTCTAAGCTCCAAAGACAAGAAGATTCAAGCCATTGAAGAAGAGGTAATCATCTAGATCTACTCTTATGTGAAAATTTCGAAATGTATATGCTAGATTAGGGTTCTTGAGTCTTGGATGAATTGCATGTACAATAAAGAAACCTAGATCCAAGCATTAAGGTTTGCATGAGCACATAGGATGTTCTTTTGTATAAAACCTATCAGAAATGTGTCAAGGAAAATAATGGATTTGCTTACATTTTTAGGAAGGAAATATTGATGAAACTTCCATTTGAAACAATACCTATGATGATGAAGTTGATGAGGCTTGATTATGATCATATCGCTATATAAACCCAAATTATAGATAACCAACTCAACAACCCAAATAAATAAATATCAGA